AAGAGAGAGGGAAGAGAGAGAGAAGATGTGAAGACGAAAGGGGGACATGAGGTAGATATCTCGTAACATCGTCAGATTCCGAAATGTCATAACAAACTATCCTTGAATAATATACATATAAAAAAAGATTTTCCAATTCCGCTTCCCATCCGCACCCCTTCGTAATCGGAAATATCCTTTACAACTTGGCAAAAACCGTCGGCACCACACCCCCCATCTCAACCAGCGTACTCTTATTCCTCACCCAGGCCTCGAGCCCCCTCTTCCCATTCTCAACCCCGACCCCACTCTGTTTCCACCCGCCGACACTCATCTCCGCAGGGCTCTCGCCCCAAGTATTGATCCACGTGATACCGGCCTCTAGCCTCGCAATAACCTTATGCGCGGTATTGAGATCTTTGGTGAAGATACCGGCGGCGAGACCGAGAGGGGTGTTGTTTGCGCGGGACACGACTTCGTCAATAGAGGAGTAGGAGAGGATGGACATTACGGGGCCGAAGATTTCTTCTTGGACGATTTTCATCGTGTCGGTGCAGTTTGTGAAGACGGTAGGTTGGACCCAGTAGCCGTTTTTGTAAGATGCATCGGAGTGCGAGGTGAGCCACGCTGGAGACTCTGGGCCACCGTAGAGCAAGGTAGCTTTGTCGGTATCGATGCCGTGGCGGATGTAGGATAGGACTTTTTCGTAGTGCGGTTTTGAGACTAGAGGGCCGAAGTTCGTAGCGGCGTTGTAGAGGTCGCCGGGGCGGATGTATTGCATTTTTTCGATGAGGCGCTTCTCGAATTGTGACTTCATAGCGGCGGGCACGAAGACGCGGGTGCCGTTTGTGCAGACTTGACCCGTGGAGAAGAAGTTTGCGAGCATGGCGCCGTTGACGGCTTGGTCGAGGTCGGCGTCGGGGAGGATGATGCAGGCGGATTTACCGCCGAGCTCCATGGTTACGTATTTCATCTCGCCGGCTGCGCTGCCTGCCACCTTCTTGCCAGTAGAAACTTGGCCCGTGAAGCTGACTTTGGCAATGCCAGAGTGCTTGGTCAGGTATGCGCCTACATCGCCGCCGCCCTGGACTACGTTGAAGACCCCGGGAGGTACACCAGCTTCTGCGTAGATGTCGGCCAAGACGGTGGAGTGGAGAGGTGTGAATTCTGAGGGCTTGTAGATCATGCAGTTTCCAGCGGCGAGGCAGGGAGCCGATTTCCAGAGAGCGATTTGGATGGGATAGTTCCACGCTCCGATTCCTGCGCACACACCCAGAGGACTCTTGGTTGTGTATACCCATGCGTCTGGCCGCAGCGGTGCCGTCTCGCCGTTCATACCGCCTCCTCCGACTAGGTTGGCGAAGAATTCCAAGACATCTGCGCCCGTGACGATGTCGACAGTCGAGGTCTCGGAGAAGGGCTTGCCCGTGTCTGTGGTTTCAATTCTCGCGAGTTCATCGTTTCGCGAGCGCAGAATGGCTGCGGCCCGCTGGAGAATGCGCGCGCGTTCGATGGGAGGCGTGGCGGACCATGCTGGAAAGGCCTTGTGAGCAGAGGCTATGGCGGCATCGATGCCAGCGTTTGTGGTTGCGTGAATGTTCGCAACGGGCTGCGCGGTCGCGGGATCAATCGTTTGGAATGTAGACGAGGAACAGCCTGATTGTATCTTGCCGTCGTAGTAGGCAGAGCGAGGCGCATATGGGAGAGACATGGTCAAAGAGCCTGTTTGGCGCAACGGAGTGGAAGCAACAAGTGAGGATAAAACAGGGCTTGTACGGGAATGTCACGAAGATGGAAATACGGCGGGAAACAAATCAAGCACTGACTGTCGGCTGCAAGGAGTCAGTTTTGTGCTTGAAAGATGATGTAACGTCAAGGTACGAGGATTTGTGCCAACGTTTGTATATAGGTAGGTACTGCATGCAGAGTGACAGCTAGAGGCAGGGGGAGCTTGTATGCAGCCGTTGCACTTTGCTTTCCACTCTGAGGTTAGTTGACGAAGAACCGGGTCGCGTCGGACAAAAAGATGGCCTGGTCGTACGTATGCCAGGAAGTGGAGGGCAATGCGCAGCGGTTTTCAGCGGGATGGCGCGACGTCTTTGAGCTCAGAGTTTCTCGCAGGTGGCACAAAACGCCGTGTCTGATGGCTGTCGTGCTCACCGCCTTTGGATCGGGGAAAGTGCGGCGTGGCATTGCAGGGATCCCACGCTCGGAACATGCAAACTCAGCGGGGTGCGCTAGTCCACATACGGCAATGGCGTCATTGGTCGGTTTTGCGACGCTTTTTTTGCGTTGCCGACCTCTCGACTGACATGGGACGAACGAACGGCGTGAGAGAGAGAGAGCCTGTGATCTGTTCAACGCCATCAGCAGATGAGATACAAATATCGTCTTTGATTCGTCATCAACAACCCCTCCCTCACCTAGTTCACATTTCCCCGCTCAGCCATCGCATTCCCGCTGACACACGCAGCTAAGACGTTGACCAAAGCACGTGCATCGTTCCGGCCCTATCGCAAACGGCCCTTTTTAGGCCCTCTTATCTTGGAAAGCAAGTTACACATCCTGCAGCGGAACTACGACACGCCATCCGCCCAGCCTCACCACTCAATCGACTCACTTTTGGTATCCGAGTCTCTGCCGATCGTGACCACCAGGTCCGTGCTGACAAGACTGACCTTTTCACGCCATAGTCTGCATACATATAAGCTTGCCTCTACGTGAAAACTTGGTTGAGATTAAGGAAGCACCCGTCCTCCTCACCAACTCATTCCTCTTCATCCTTCACCCACACGCAACCATGGCTTTTGAGACTGTGACTTCCATCCCCAAGGATGCTGACTACGACTTTGTCATTGTCGGAGGAGGCACAGCTGGCTGTGTCATTGCCTCGCGCCTCACAGAGTACCTCCCCAACAAGAAAGTCCTCCTAATCGAGGCTGGCCCAAGCGACTTTATGGATGACCGTGTCTTGCTTCTCAAGGACTGGCTCAATCTGCTCGGAGGAGAACTCGACTACGACTACGGCACTACCGAACAGCCCAATGGCAACTCTCACATCCGACACTCACGTGCAAAGGTCCTTGGTGGCTGCTCCTCGCACAACACCCTTATCTCCTTCAGGCCGTTTGAATACGACTGCAAGAGGTGGGAGCAGCAAGGGTGCAGGGGATGGAGCTTCAAGACGTTTATGCGTGTGCTTGACAACCTCCGCAACACCGTTCAGCCCGTGCACGAGAAACACCGAAATCAGCTCTGCCTTGACTGGGTCGAATCTTGCTCAACTTCTTTGAACATTCCCGTAATCCACGATTTCAACCACGAAATCAAGACCAAGGGTGCTCTAAAGCCTTCAGTCGGCTTCTTCTCGGTCGCATACAACCCTGATGATGGTCGCCGAAGCAGCGCTAGTGTAGCCTACATCCATCCAATTCTCCGTGGCGAGGAGACTCGCAACAACCTGACCGTCCTTACCAACGCATGGGTCAGCAAGATCAATGTGTCAGGCAACAAGGTCACTGGCGTTGATATCACCCTCCAGAGCGGCGAGAAGCTCACCCTCAACCCCAAGTGCGAAACCATTCTCTGTGCAGGTGCTGTCGATACGCCACGGTTGATGCTTCTGTCCGGTCTTGGCCCCAAGCAACAACTCTCCGACCTTGGCATTCCAGTCGTAAAGGACTTGCCCGGTGTGGGTGAGAACTTGCTCGACCACCCAGAGAGCATTATCCTCTGGGAGCTCAACAAGCCCGTTCCCGCAAACCAGACTACCCAGGACTCAGATGCTGGTATCTTCCTGCGACGAGAGGTCCCCAACGCGGCTGGTGACGATGGTGAGGTTGTTGACCTCATGATGCACTGCTACCAAATTCCTTTCTGCTTAAACACCGCTCGGTAAGTTGGGAATGACTTTTGAGAAGAATCAAGTTCTAACAAAGAAAAACAGTCTGGGTTACGACTCTCCCATTGACGCCTTCTGCATGACCCCCAACATTCCCCGTCCCCGCTCTCGCGGTCGCCTCTACCTCACTTCTGCCGACCCCAACGTCAAGCCTGCTCTTGACTTCCGCTACTTCACTGACCCCGAGGGCTACGATGCCGCTACTATTGTCGCTGGCCTCAAGGCTGCGCGAGAAGTCGCCAAGCAAGCCCCATTCGCCAACTGGATTAAGCGCGAAGTCGCGCCTGGTCCCCACATCACTTCCGACGAGGATCTCTCCGAGTACGGCCGCCGCGTCGCCCACACCGTCTACCACCCTGCCGGTACCACCAAGATGGGCGACGTCACCAAGGACGAAAAGGCCGTCGTCGATCCGGAACTCAAGGTCCGCGGCCTCAAGGGCGTCCGTATCGCCGACGCCGGTGTTTTCCCCGAGATGCCCACTATCAACCCCATGTTGACTGTTCTTGGTATCGGTGAGCGTGCTGCCGAGCTGATTGCGCAAGAGTGGGGCTGGAAGGGTCTGGAGAAGCAGAAGTTGTAAGTGTGGAGTGTGGAGAGAAAGAAAAAGTGGGTATTTGACAGGCCATTTTTGTTACGATTAGATGATGATGTGTTGTACCATTTCCTTTCATGTCTGTATATCTTGATAGTAGTTATTGCTTTGGTATCCTTATGATGTTACCAGAATACGAACAATACCCCATTTCACGAGTCATGGAATGTTTTGCACGCAAGTATGTGATTTAAGTGTGTGCCATTCAATTACCATACAAGGAGACTAAAAAAGCTCCCAAGTCGGATCAACGCTTCTTCGCTTTGCATGGTTAAGAGGCTCCGACGTTTGTGTGTGTGTGTGTGTCCCCATCCACCTATTTGTACAAAAACCCATTCCTGGAACCCTAGTTACAAAGCAAGAAGTACGGCTGAATCGCCTTAGTGTTGCCTGTACAATCTGCCTTATCGTCCATACAATATACCAAACGCCAGAGTGTTCTCGCTCATGCATGTACGAACTCTCTCGGTCGTCAAACTGAATCGTCAAACTGAGTCATTAAGCTCGCTCAGTTGTCAAGCTCTCTCAGTCATCAAACTCAAATATCCTGACCAAACCATCACCTTCGCCCGCATCTTCTTCATCCTCGCTATTACTCTCTTCACTCTCGCTCTCCTCATCGCTATCCGCAATCGCAAACCGATCATCAAAAGGACCACCACCCTTCATCTCCTGCTCACCCCAACCCGCCTCTTCTCCAACCTCAGTCGCCTTAACCTTTGCCCCACGTACGAAATCGCCCTCAGCATCCGTATCATGCATATCAAGCACATACCTGCCCCTCTCATCGGTGAACTCGCGCTGAACCGCCTCACTCTTCTTGCGTGCCTTGTTCTTTTTCTTGTCCGCGTCTTCTTTCTTCTTGAGCCACTTGCAGATCGGGGCGGGGAGCTCGTTGCGGCCGAAACCGGACTTGGCGAGGCCCCAGCTGGTGAGCGAGGCGGCGTACTTGTTGGTGGTGGAGAGAGCCGCGGCGCTGATGCTCAGGGTGGCTTTGCCCATGCCAGAGGTGGCGAGAGCCGTGGCGTACGAGAGGGTTGCGCTGCCGACCTTGGACATGGCTTTGTTGGAGTCTTGAAGAGCAGCGGACCAGGTGCCTGGGAAGGGGTACGATGGCGACTGTGGGGGGTGGGGGTTAGTGAGGGTTAGTAGAGAAGGTGTGCTTCTGGAGCTCACGTTTGCGGTGGGGGTTTGCGGTGAGAGGTCCTCCCACTCGTTGGCGCTCTCTGGCGACTCGTACTCGGAGAGGGAAGAGTCTTTTTCCTCTTCATCTCCTGTGACTGCAGGGATGTCTGCTGGGTTGATGAAACGGGAGCAGAATGCTTCTGGCTGTGCTTGGTGCGGAACTGAACGGTTGGTATGCAACACTAACTGCTTGCTGCTATGGACTTCATCTTCACTCTCGTCGTTGATGCCGTTGAAGTAACCACGTTTCGGGGGGCTCGACTGATTTCGACCCTTAGGCTGCTCGCGCCGGGTTCGAGAGCGGCCTCTGGATCTGCCCCTGTCGCCCTCGTTGCTGCCTGCAGTCTTGCGCCGCGACCTTGTAGCAAAAGCCATGACACTTGCCGTGTACAGAACTTGGACTTGCTATATCTTCTCAGTGTCAGTATGCGAAATTACAGCAGTGTCCAAAAGCAACGCAAAAACAAGCAAAGCGGCACGAGAGTCCCCGTGCGGTGAGGATGAGGTAGCGACTGCGGCAAAAGGTTCTTCAATTGGGTGTTGGAGATGGTAGAAAAGAAAGCAAGGTTTGGCGGGAGCGCTGCTGGGTTGTTGTGATCAGGTCGCGCTGCGCGTGAACCTGGGTTGTGAAAGTGACTCGCTGCAAACGACTAGCAGGACGTCATAATGTATACAGTGATAGCTAGTAGAGGGAAAAGTGGAGTGTTTGCAGGACAAACGGTCGGCGTTCGTAGGTGCCAAGGTTTTGAGGGACTTATTCGGGTAGATGGTTGTCCCCACACGATTCGCGACCGAATCCAAAGGTAGCCTTACGTTATACAAGGCTGTGGTAGGCCAGTGGGGTTCAGCATGTTCGTAACCATAACCTTGGGAATGCTTTGGTCCTTTGTGTAGTTAAGTTGCTAAGGACTTCTCAAAAGGATCGGCATCCACTGCAAAGAGCATTCACTTTGTTGCTCTTGCGCCAAGGTGTGAAAGCGCGCACACGTGATCTTCGTCACTGCGAGGCAGCATGTCATGCCGTTCATGTCATGCCGTTTTAACAATGTCCGTTTAGTTTCTTTATGGGACAAAGGTCGCTAAAAATCCTTTATTGGGGTACATGTCTTCAGTTTGTGCTCTATATTAGGCAGTAAGGTCCGTCGCGCGCTCAGCACGCGGCGACACAGAGTGAAAGCATACTCGACCATTGCGAGAGATTTCTCGAACCCTTCTTACCACCAAACCAAGGTTTGTTCTAGAGCTGCCAAAATCCAAATTCTTCCATACAATCACCCTGTGTGCTTTTCCTTGACCCGTTCTCACATCGTTTTACCTACTCGCAACTCCATACTCAATTTGCACTGAACAACCTATATACTTCCAGAACATAGAAAAGTCCAAGGTACACATCAGTACCAACCACAAAATGGCTAATAGAGGTTTGTTGAAAACTCTTCTGACAACCCATTGCGCACTCGCTGACTTCCGACAGCTGTATACATCTCCGCTCAGGACCCAAGGCGCCTGATGCGCGAATTGCTGGAAATCATGCGCAATGACGAAGCCAATAACCACCTATCACTCTCTTGTATGAAGGCTATGGAAAGGTACCTTGTCACAAACCTCCACCAGTCGTCGCTCCCAATCTCACTGCTTGACGAGATTCGCGCAGCTGATAACCGGGCCGTCCAACAAGCTCGCCAGTTTGAGGCGTCCAGGGGGAACAGGGGCGTCTTGGGAGGGATATCGAAGGTATTTCAAGGGCTATTGACCTATCGAGAGGAGAATCAAAAGCGAGTATCACGTAATATCACTAGGTCCTTCTTGGTGACTAGATACGACCTGGGTGCCAATGAATCTCGGCCAGTCCACCACAAGCCACCACCAGCTCCTGCGAACACAAGAGGCTCATCTTCTACCGAGAAGGCTTCTAGCGTCGGTACTCCTCAGGAGTATAGATTGCCGAGTGATGTTAACCATGCTTTCTATATGGCTGACGACGAGGACGATACGGTTGTCGATGAACCTCTACTAGACCATCACCAACCACCATCAGCTCCAAATGCACGCGATTCATCATCGACTGAGAGGGCGTCTAGTGTAGGTACTCCCAAGGAGAATAGAGTACCACGTAATGTCAACCAAGCATTCTATGTGGCTGACGAGGATGATCCATTCGGTGAGCCGCCAGTCCATCACGAGCCACGACCAGCTCCTCTGAGTGCACGCGATTCATCGTCGACCGAGAGAGCTTCTAGTGTCGGTACTCCCAGCGAGAATAGATTACCGTGTGATGTCAACCAGGCCTTCTATGTAGCTGATGAGGACGAACCACCACGGCTTTCTCTGCCTTCACTTGCACAAACTTCGATCGACCAGACTTCGGCACCTAAGAGGAACAGGAGGGTCTTAGGGGAGATTTCGAGTATACCTTTGGGGCCAATGATTGGCACAGGTGAGAACCATTTGGGAGTACTGCGTAACATCAACCAATCCTTCTATGTGGCTGAAGATGACGATCCAGTCATCCATGAGTCTCCGCCAGTGACTGGACCCGCTAAAAATCATTTTGGAGGACCGCTTAACGCCAATCAATCCTTTCAGATCGCTGAAGACGACCCAGTCGTTGACGAGTCTCAACCAGTCCACCACGAGCCACCACGAGCTCCTCTCAATCCACGCACTCAAACTCCGATCAGGCAGCCTACCCGTGTTAGTAAACCCAAGACCAATACTCAGCAAAACGCAACCTCCACTCCCCGCCCAACTCAAAACGACCAGCCATACCGGAGGGTCATCGCCAACGCCAACCATGACGCAACCGTCACCCTGGACGAACTCGAACAGTCCTTCATTGAACAGACAGGTCCAGCAGACGATGGCTCCGACACAGAAGAAGCCACTGAGCCCGACACCCCGCCGGACCCCAACACCGCGCGCGCCCCCCATGTCTTTGAAGAAATCCCAAAAATCATAGTCACCGACTCCCGCGAAAACATCCAAGCCATCGTCGAAGTCGACCCCGCCGTCGAGCCCTCTCAACCCACCGAGAGATCCAGAGAACCCACCCCAAACGTCCCCGAATACAACTTCCTCAAGCATAAGAAAGCAGGTTACTGCAACAAAGCAGCCGCCGAACCACAACGCCTCTACCCCACCACGATCGTAGAAGAGAGAGACGAAATTCCTCCGAGCTGGTCGGCCCGACATATGGGAACGAGTCCAAGTTCTGGTCGTCCTGGCTGCTCGTCGCCGCCGATCCAAAGAGCCGGCTCGGCGTCCGTGGCTGCGACGAAGGCTACGAAGGGTACGAGGGGTACGAAGGGGAAGCAGGCGCAAAGTGTGGAGCCAAGGAGTACGAGGGCAAGACAGGTGCGTAGTGTGGAGACGAGGACTACGACTACGACGGGGAAGCGGGCGCGTGGGGCGGAGGCACAGACTCCGAAGAAGAGGGTTAGGAAGACTGGTGGGGGGAGGAAAGACGTGTAGGGATTGGGACAATAGGACGAAGAGTATTGTGTGGATTTTTTCCTTGTGGACGGTGTATTGTTGGCATTTTGGGCGGTCTTTGTTGCTGGTGTGTCTTTATACCCTGTTTTGTTCTTTTTTTCCCCTTTGTTGTTGCATCATTATGGTAAAATTTTAGAAGTTGCATCTTTGCTCTTGATAGTTTATGTCTGCTCGAGATCATTTTGAGTGCTGTTGCTGCTCTTGCTGTATTACTTTCTTTGTTGTTTTCTTGATAGGTGTATTATACCATAATCGATACTCGGCGCATTCCCGCTTGTACGTTGGTATGCGCACATGTTTTCATTGTCGCCCATAGTTCTAGCGCTTACTTGTTTCGTGGTTCCATAGCTTCCGTACATTTGAATGCTATTCCAACGTCATCCTACTGTTTGTCACCATGTATTTCATACTTGTGATATCAATTTCTAGGCCTTTACCTATGTTTTTATATGTCAAGTATTTTAATGATTAGCTAGATTAATATAGAGTATAATTCAGTTCCAGTCCTGTATAAAGTGTTCACCACTATCTTATACGACCCCCTTGGCGGCATAATCAATTGATCGAGTCGCTCCTAGAGTTGAGCAGTTAAAGGCTATGATTACTCGTAGCCACTGTGTCGATTTAGAAGATAGTTCAACGTGTTTTTGACCTAGAAGAAGGCTACTAGGCTCATAACTGTCGCACATGGTACTAAGTACCTCTGGAAAGAGAACATAAATGTACAAATCTCTCACTGTCGAAATCCAAGAGTAACTCCTAGATTTTCAAAACCATTTTAATATCAAAACTAAATACATTCCGATGGTTTGATTCCCTGGAAAGAGTTTCCAGATCTTAGCACTGAAGAAGCTTTCTTAATTGCACACTGATTGACTACTGTACTGACATTCCATATAAATACTATATCTAGCCACTTTATACATCCCGTGTCAGTCAATATAATAACTATTAACTATTAAATAAATGTTCATATACTTAACGCTGAGTAAGAAGAGTATTAGCTGAGTGATATCGATGCGTTTCTCTCATAAAGCTTGCATAGCGAAGACAGCTGACCTATATGATGCGAAAATTTGCAACCCTTTCGCCAAACTCTGCGCCATCAATAACTCCCTGCTTCATACGAGCCGGTACAACAGTAGGCCCAATATGAGCGCAAGGAATTGGCATGACTGGCTTAGTGTTAGTTGCCGTCCCAGCTACCTCGCTGGCGTTGAAATTATCGATCCTCCGTAACGTCATTAGCACGGCCGAACCTTTTACTCGGCAAACCAGATCCCCTGGCCGTGTAATGCGAGAGCCCATGCCCACGAGACCCGATGCCGTACGGTACACGATACGGCACATTGATGGCCACGTCATGCACTCAAGGAACCCGCCAGCAGTGGCGCCTTCTGCGCGCCGCCGCAGCTCAACTTGCACCTCGGCCGGCAGGCTATCGAAGACTGAGCGAACAGGCAGATAGCTCCTGTCATCATCAACGTCACCAGTTTCAGATAACGCGCTGCGAAGCAGCTCGTGATACTCGAGAATGTAGGCAGCAAACGATCGACGGTGTTCCTCTAGCGTCTGATTCGACCCTATATCGCTGTCTGGATCATCCTTTTCCCGCGTGCCGAGCGAGAGGGTCATTGAGAGTGAGTCCAGCACAACCAGCGCGTCGTAACTGGGGCTTGTAGACGTATTACCTTGCTGTTCGGTAGGGTAGATCAGCTCCCATACGTGATCGAGCCAGAAAGGGTTTTGCTTTGTCCTTTCTCGCGCCAAGTGCGTGACGGGGAAGTCTGTCGTTTCCATGCGGCGCGAAACAGCAGAGATCTCGTCGATCACCCAACCTCGTACCAGAAGATGTGGAAGCGATGTCCCGTTCTCACAATCAACTCCACCCTCGAAGCTGATCTCATCGTCTTCAGTCGCAGTCGCAGCAACCGGGTAGTCGATCGGTGTGGTACGGTTAATACTATGCCAGTCAGGCACCCAGCTGGGCATCCTAGCTTCGTGCTGCGGGTCCCAATCACGCTGCTCTAAGGAAGGGTCATTCTCGTGATCGACAAAGCTGACAACGTGCAGATTTTTCGTCTTCTGGATGAAGTTGACGGCTAGTCTCGTGTATATGACCCCCCGCGTACGCGTGTAGTCAGGTTGAATTACAGGCTCGCCGCCAAGGATGGCCATAGGGTGACCAAGTAAACTAAAGACACGGTCACGCGGGTCGGTTACGCGCAAGATGCGCGTCCAGTGCATAGCAGTCAGAAAGTCGCACTTAGGGGTGTCATCTTCCTTAGTAGCCCAGACCATCACGATGTGATGGGCGACCCACGACGCTAGACCGAGATGCGTCACCAGCGAGGCACCGCTGTAATCCAAAAATTGGACGAAGCGGCCCGTTAGTTCCCAGTCGATAAAATCGACATCTAGAGCCCAATTTTCGTTCTCAACAGTAGTTGCATTGCCAGAAAAAATCCCCTTATCAGATTTGGTACTGTCATCGGCGGGCTTCAGAGCCGTGATCAAGAGAGCCTGGCGGGCGAGACCAAGCTCTTGCACAATCCACGCACGGTGGAAGTATTCAATGTCGAAGAAAAATCTGATAGCCTCCCACTTGTATGCCTGCTCCTCAAATCGGCGCCGGTCGTCCTCGGATAAATGAGCGACGTCGGCGGTGGGGTCAGCTAGGTAGTCGTGGTGAAGGAGGATACGCGCATCGCAGAGGCCAGTCTCGGGGTCTTTCATGAAAGCGTGTATGAAGCGGATGGCGTCCTGGGTTAGGAAGCGACCAACTTCGCTCGTTTCCCAGCCGAGCCACGAGAGGACACGACTCGCGCCGGCATAGATGAAAGACATGAGTTTGACTTGGGAGAGGCGTTCTTGCAGGTCATCCTGGTTGATGCACACTGCGTCAACCCATAACCGCCGCACTGGTTGTCGTTGCGCTGGTGCCTTGCCTGCATCTAGCTCTTCGCTGCCCCCAGCAACTGGTCGGTGTCGGAAGGCCGTCAGCGCCCCATGCAGGTTCTCTGTCACAGACAGCGTCGCTCCATCTATGGTGATGTCGCGCCGCTTTTGTGGGTCACCCCAAACGTATGATATGGCCTCGTACGGCTCCGCTTCCATTGCCTGCGGCACCAGCCGCCCGACGATGGGGTCCGAGAATTTGCCGGCTTCAAGCTCAAAGACGCGGATGAACTTGGGGGCGAGAGGGTGATAGAAGTCGGGGAAGGGATGACGGCTTATGTCCTTCATGCTGATCGGTAGCGGGGATCTTAGTGTAAAGCAATATGTCTACTAAGAGGGACGGTGTCGAGTAAAAGTGGGGTGACAGCCTACACAGTCCGTGCACTACAGGGATGCTCCATGGTCGTGCTGCGCTCTGATTAGCTGCGTACAGAATTTGGGTGCTGGGGCTCGAACTTACTGTGTAGATTATGCAAAAGGGTGGGGATTTGTGTGACCTAAGAGGAGACATTAAGTTATTAATTTACAGTTAGAGTACATCTCATGAATTTCTTGACATGGTGCTTTCAAGCCGTTCATCTAATCTTGTCTGACGCAGCATTATCGCGACACTGAGTGGATGTGGAGTAATTCTGGTCCATCAAGCTACGTGTAAGTCCTGGGAGCAGTCTCCCACCAAATCTTTTACACAACCTAAAAACAGATATAACTTGGTAGATTGCCATGTCTAGAAAGCATATGGTTTTGACGTCTTCAACTTACCTTAACTGTAATATTCATCTTGTTCCGCATGAGTAGCAACGCAAAATTTAGAATGTCGTAGTCAAGTCCCTCATGATGTGGCGAGACACACACACACCCCGAAACCAGACGCGCCCTAAGTGCTTCGGCCCGAGTCTATGTTTAAAATACAACAGCATTGGTTCGTATTCTTATCATCTCTAGAATTACTGTATATCTTCTCGTGAACAACCCTACTTTTCGTAACCTTGAAATTGCGGCTTTGTGGTTACTATTACCGCCTTGTTACGAATACAGGAACCTTGAGGAGCGAGTTTTGAGAAGAAAAAGAATTGAGTTTTCGGGTTCGGGGAAATGTATACAAGTGGGCCTGTTGGCTGAGTAAGAGGCGCGGGACGCGGGCTCTTGGTGATCTTAAATAGCCGGATAAACACCACGCCAACTATTAGCCCAAATTACAGCAAAGATTATTCTGAATAGCATTATGAAATCCAGAGAAAGCACTAGACGTGTTACTTAGTACAGTACTTTTCATTTACTCAATTTTTGTAGCTAAGCAGTGCGTGGTGTTGGCGTTATGGAGGAGTTGTGCTGTTGTGGTTGGAGGGCTTTTTATCCGACTACGTACTTCAGTTCCACAAGAGGCGGGGTCTTTTCTGCGGACGTGTCGTAAGATTAAACATCTTCACCGCAACCCGACAATGGCTTCCCAAGATCATAAACCAGATTCGGACTCATATTGGCAGCGAACCCCAACTCTGGCATTGAAACAAACTCTATGCCTTTACTGCTGGGACATATCGTCCAATCTCAAACGATGCATCGCTTGCAAACGGGTCTCATACTGCTGCGTAAAGTGCCAAAAGCAAGACTGGAACAGAAACCACAAGCGAATCTGCAAGGAGCTTGTTGCTTTGAACAAGCAGAAAGGATATGTGCCCTCAGCTGGCAGGCATTGGAACGATTACCGTGACGAGCAGGTACATGACTCGCCTCAATTCGCTAGACAACCGACCAGATTCTGAGATACCTTTTAGGATTTAGATTTCTCAAGATTGGGTACTCCTGATCTCTGTGAAATTGGAACATTGGTTGGGTATGTCTGAGAACCACCTGCCAACAAACTATGACCATATTGTATTCATCATTAGGCTAACACTTGCAGTTAGCTACGAACCATATTGCTATCACTGTTACAGAAGAGAATCTCAGCTTGAAGATGGTGCGAAGCTTAACGCTTGCCGATCCTGCCATCTTACCTCGTTCTGCACCTCTTGCCAACAAACACATCCATCCGCAGAGTGCGCGACCTTGCAAGATGTTGCAATTGATGAGAAGTTTTTCGTAAATCTCTACCGGCGCACGGGAAATACCTTGACCATCTCTATCTCGCAATTTCCCAGGAGCCGATATTGTCTTCTCTCTTCTGCAGCCGATTGGTATGATTACTACACGAGGCTCTCAGACAAGCGTGGCTTGATCTTCAAAATGAACCGGGATTTAAAGTACCGCGCAAATGACTCCAGAGAACAAGTATTCGTCGAACATATGAGATACGGTACCAATGCGACAACTATCCACCTCACCTTAATCGCTGCTTTGGAGGCGACAATGCCCAATATCGGCACCCGAGATTCGATCAACCTTCACATTATGGGTGCAGCTAGTATGGAATCTGCCTCTGTTACGGCATTTGAGGAGCTATTGCACCTCCTCCCGTCACTGAAAGCACTTCGTTTATCATTCGTGGGGCTAAATGTAGAAACCCAGACGCCATCCACTCTTCAGTGCTGTACCATGTGTACCAAGGCGGGACGGTCGATTTCCATCACCACCTGGAGAGGTTCATATCACGCATACGTCGAAACCAAATTCTACAAGACGCCAGATCTAGCAGCAGCCTTTCACTCTGGATTTTCGGTAGACGAACAAGCGAGCTGGTACCCAACCATCAGGTACCTTGCGCACGCTCCGCATCCAACACTCTTTACTGCGTATAGATTCTTTGAGATTGAGGGAGAGATGAGATTTTGGAAGAGTCTAGGAGCGGAATTTGTAAAGGAAGCTGAAGTAAACAAGTGGAAGGGAATGTCTCCTTCGCTCGCAGTGTGTGGGGACAAGCCGAACGAGGTGCTCTACAAAAATCATTGGTGGTATATTGTGAAACAAAGGTAACACAGAGATGTAGATGATTATTGTGATTGTAAATCGGGAATCGGAGTAATGGAATTAATCTTCATCAACATGAGTTTTCTTTGCGTACCGTGTGGAAGTAGCTGTCTCGGCTCTCCGCCCGCTTGGCCGCTGTCGCGTTGCTATGCATGCACGTCAAAACACATCTCCCAATCAAACCACTCCGCTTCATGCATACGCATGCATAAGATATTATACGAGGCCACCACTTCCCTCTCTCTGCCTTGTACCTCACCTTGCAAATGCACCTCACCACTCCCTCCCTCCACCTCTTCCTTCTCTTTGCGCACTTCATCTACATGACCATGGCAACCCAGAGTGCCGCCGATTCATCTCCCGTGACGCGCATCGCAACATTTAGGTTCCGCGATGAAGTGACACCGGAGCAGAAGGGCGACCGCACCGCAGCTTTTCTGGCGCTCTATGCTGAGCATCCCGAGTTGTTGATCGAAGGACCCAAGGGAGGGAGGCCGTTGAATACGCCGCTCAATCTGACGAATGTGAAGAGGGAGAGTGTCTGGGATACAGGGTTTGTGGTTGTTTTCAAGGTAGGTCAATTCCACTTCGTTGCGTGTGGGGTGTATTGGACTGAAGAAGGGGGGAAGTTCAGCGAGTCTGGATGGGGTTGAGAAAGTAGAGGAAGCTGATGAGTGGTAGGACGAAGCTGCGAGACAAAAGTTTGATCTCGATCCTGGGCATGACAGGTTGAAGGTAAGTCTTCTTGGCCTACACATTTTGTTTTCTTGTTTGCATTTGAATGTTTGATAAACTAATCGATGATGCAGGAGGAGACGGATCCGTTGCTGGAGCAGGTATTTGTGTACGATTTTGTTGCACAGCCAAACTTGGGTTGGTGAGAGTAATATTGTTGAAAGGTCGTGCTGAGAGTCAAAGAAATGATTGGTTGAATGATAGCTGTATAGAAGCAGAAATTCCGAAAGCGCGATGTCTGGCCAAGTAGTACATAATCCCATTCACTGTGTTCAGAGAGATTTTCTGTATTTGTTTCCTTCTTTTAAGGCCCACATGCATCTGGACTTATCTGTACAAATCTCCACCAACAATTCCTGCCCTCCATCACTACCTATGATTTCGAACGCTGCCTCCGCTGGCCCAAAGGATGTCATCAAAATTGAAGTAGATGTTCAGGTTAGGCGTGATGTTGACGTAGACTGATGGAAGGCCAACCTCGAGAGTACATCCGCGGAAAAGGCCAGAGAAGCATGTAAACCCTAGTTGACGCGACTCCAGGTCCTTGATCGGCATAGGAGTCGTATCGTCAGTTAGTAAGCATTGGGCGAGGTGTGCCAGGCGATAAATGAAGAGGAGAAAACGATGGAGAAATTACCCAATGAGGTCGCGACCTTATCTAATGCATACCAAATTCACCTATCAGGGAGGATAGCGGACGTAAAATGTCAAAATTGCAGTTGGAGAACATTCGGTCAGACCTGATGGTCAAACTTTGCTTATTATCTGTGGGTGTTCTCTCTAATGATGGTACGACCGCCTCTGTATCTTCTCAAGGACCTTACAAACATCTCTTTACCTGCTCAAAGAATGTGTCCCACGTAAGACCACGGTCCGTACTTGGGAAAGTATCTACCAGGTGCGCACTAAGATAGGTAATGACGGTGGTGTTATGCCAAAAGAACCTAACTATTTTGACGATAATGTCTTCCTGTTCAATGTCTAACAGGAGCAGTGTCACGCAAGTGTGTGCACTATTGTGATCTATGATGGAGAATTAAAGCGAACGAACTCTTCATTCGAACCCATTCAATGAAGTACGCGCTCGTACGACTGGTAAGCGCGGAACCCAAAAGCGATTTCACTGCAGTATTGGAAACACATCATGACTTAGTCTTTATTTTCTCGGCCTGTAATATCATGATAAGAGCGGTTGTATCATCATGCCGTAATACGATCTTACAGCTACTTACGCTGTATGCTAAAATCTATAGAACTCGAAAACCTACCAGGGTCGTTTTAGCCAGCAGAGTATCTGTGGTCCTGAGTCGGCAGAAATAGAGTGACATTGCAAAGGGTCCCGATGAAGGATATGGGCTGATACTACCTTCTATCATGTAACTGACTGATCAAAGTCAATCATATAAAGCTGGCCCATGATGTCCAGTTGAAATTCTCATCAAGTCATCACCACCATCTCTTTCACTATAAACATCTCTGCTGGCCTTGAGGAGCTTCTACAACATCATCAATCATCATGCATTTTACCGCCGCCCTATTCGCAGCTTGCCAGCCCTCCTGCCATCTGTGCAAGCCGATATTCCACATGGCAACTGGATTCAGCTTGACCCTTACATTGCATACGTGTACAAGGATGATCAGATGCTTTATTCGAACCATAATCTCCACTAGGACTGACAGCTTACCACCCAGGTCTGCAATAAGAGTTACGTTTCCTCTATGGTAACTACTTTCATGACCTAATTCCTCCGGGACACGCGACCGTGTTAACAACATAGGGGCGAAATACATCATTGAACGCGGCAGAGTAAGATTATTCCCCATTCTCTCGGAATAGACCTAGGCGACATGCCTGAAGTGTGTCGCCTGTACTAGCTATGGTTTGAATGGTGCTGATTGATGAGAGAAGCACAATAAGCAGGCTCAGAATTGTTGGTTATGATGTCGATAGAATCACTAAGAATGTTTTTATCAACAGATCTCCTTACAAGGCTTGTGATATCGAAGGCCGCGGCTATTAAGGATTTGGTGTAGGTGATATGAATAGAGAGAACTGGGACACGTAGATTAGTATTGCGGCGTTAATCTTGATCAGGAGGAGGCCTGTTCTTCGAGCTTTGCGTCTCTCACTTCTGATTGAGGATTTTGCTTGTGCTTGTGAGAAGGCATCGTCTCACTGTAACTTTTCCAAGTTCTCAGCATGTCACCCTCTTTGCCTCCATGCCCACATCAAGTTTATCTATGAGAAAGATGGTTTGATCTCACCATGGCTGGTAGCAGGATATCTCCTTCCTTCAAACCAGTCACTCAGAAATTGAAATTGTTATGGCACTCACTCAAAGAAGTATAGTGTCTTGTCACCTACCTGGTATTTGTAGCTGCCTCGAGACTATACCACAGAATCAACCTTACATAACACTTCTATTTGAACTCTACTAGCCAAAATTCTCTATAGCAAACATCACTACTCTGATTCACCCAGTCCCGAACTTCGGGTGGTGAAATGAATGCTTTCACCGCCAAGGACTCACCTGTTTGCTCTCTGCTTATGTAACGCAAACGCACTTAAAGCTCTGTTATTTTGAATCCCAACAACACATCTCACTACTCAGCTACTCAGGCTGATTCTCATTATCTGTCTTCCAACTTACTTATAGCTATCACTCACAATGTCTACACCAGACGATGCCAACCTCAGAGCCCTACTTCTTCTTTCTAAGGAGAGTCTTTTAGCACGTGCTCGCGAAAGCCTTCTCAGAGGTTTGCCCGATGACGATCTGGCCGAGTTAGTTGCGCAAATGGTCAGCCGAGACAAGCCCCGAGGTGATCTAGAAGAGATCGCACGCATGATGCTAGATGTCCTTGTAAGGCGTGATGCTCAGAATGATGCCCTCCTCAGTCTCACTACGAATGACAACTCCACTGCTGCAGCAAGCACTGAAGAGATCCGAGTCAAGTATACATCAGGTAAAGGAAGATTTTACACTAAACTATAGAACACTTACTGACAGAGAATAAAAAGAAGGTACACAGACGGTTGCCAAAACTGGGGTTGTCTCAGATGTATCGCCGGAAATCAGAACATCTCATGGTCGTCTGTCGATGCGAAAGCGACCCGCTAGCGAGCAATCTGTTTCTACCATGGAAGAGACCGCAAGTGCAAAGCGTGCAAAACATGAAGATGGTACGTGATGTAGGCTCGAATATTCCACCATCACAGCTAACAACCTCTTAGTGGCAACAGAAGATACGGCGCCTTCACTTCGTACTTGGGACCAAGAACAGATAGCCGGAAAGACGGTACAAGTCGCCGGAGTTGTGTACTGGAATCCCTACAAGGAGTGCTACTTCAAGCTAGCTCTTGAAAATGACAAGGACCGTATCGCCAACCTTATCGCCGACGAATTTGATGCTGAATATCTTTCTGAATCAGACCACATCGACACATGGAAAGATATGTTGAAGAATCCAAAACACTACATGAAAAAGCGATGGTGCGTCGGCCGGGCTCTTAATGAGAAAGAGGAAGAATTCCTGGGTGACGATAACATGAGCACCAAAAAGACGACGTGTACAAGCTGCATCCAGCAACAGCGGATCTGTGCCCGCCTGGTCAATTTCGCCGGATCGATTAAGCTTGCCTTCTTTCCCTTGCCACCCCAACTGCAATGCGTTGATGAGATAGCCGAACAGGGTTTCTGGTCGCAGTCATCAAAGTACGATGAGGATGATTGCTCCGAGGATGTTTCAGTCACTGGTCAGGAACGGGATTAGGGATGCTGCCGTAGGATGCTGCCGTAATCGCTCGACAACCCTGATCCTAGCATCCGATCCGTACCACTGCCGTCACGCATGTAGCCCTTTGAATGTGGCGGAGCGGTGATGGATATTCATGTATGGCAATAGGGAAAGTGAATGCCATGAGGGGCCATGTGTACAAATAGTCAGGATGCTAATACATAAATACAAATCTCATTCCCCGTTCGATAACAAATTATGCATCATGCGCGCGAAAAAAAGTGTATATTCTTAATCTCTTTTTATTTTCTCCTCGCTCTAGCTTTGATCACTACCAAGCACAGCGTACGCGTTGGTGATATCTTGTTTAGAATATTGTCTCTGTTCAGCCTTCCTCTTTTTTCTATCCGCTTCTCTTAACTGGCGCTTCTTCTTCTTGTTCGAAACATTCTCCGTCACTACCTCAACGCCAGCAGAGACGTAGATCTCTTCAATTAAAGCTCGCAACTCGTCGTGGTTTGCCAATATGCGCTTTGACTGTCCTGGTACGCCAAAACCTTCGGGTATCGATGGAAGAGTGCGCATACGTTGATCCAAGCTAAGTAGGGAATCATGTAACCTCTGATCTGCCTTTGGTTTGACTACAAGCCATACGCTCACGATCTGACTGAACATGCGCAGTGAGTATAATGCGGATTGTAGGCGAGCCATGAGTTGTACAAAAGCCCAAGTATTGTCAAAATCGCCGTTGATAACCCGGAGTACCAGAGGAATCGCAGGGGCGCTTTTCAGCTCAGCAAGTACCATACTAAGCGCGAATAGTGGCCAAAGTAGCATGGTTTGAAGCTTTCTAGAAGTAGCCCAGTCCAACAGGGTGCGAATCTGTCGCTCAAGGTCTGTGATTGGTGTTGGCAGATCCACTAGAGAGTATGTAGCCACCTCTTGTACAGCAACAACCTGCGCTTTCCGTCTATATTCCTGGACAACCATCTTTTCCGATGCTAGCAAAGAGTAAGCCATCGCGCGGATATCGCAGCCCATATTCCACGCGGATGCTTGGCTGGGGTCTTCCATCAGTAGGGGCATGTAAACAAACGGGGTATCAGAATGTTCCAGAGCTTGGTGCACGAACTCTGAAACACGAACGTCCAATTCGGGTAGACTGGAAAGAATGTTCTCTGAGTCGGATTTGTATATCGGGGCCACAACTTCGGCAATGTACCTTTTAGTAAAGTCTAGGTACGATGTAGAGTCTTCATCCACGCCCTTGGCATTGCGGACAAGATCGTTGGCGGTATCCTGAGGACCTTGCAGAAGAGCGAAGGCAAACGGTAACAAGCTTTTTAACTGCAACTTCTTTTGGATCTCGTTAGGCGAATATGCCTTGATGGCAGTAACTACTTCAGCATCATGTAGAAATACTATGAGCGTGTCTACGCAATAGTCGTAAAGAACGAGATCTGTATCGCTGGTGAAGATGATGGATTTGGCATTTTCTTTAGCATGTAATGCACACCAATCGTCTGCTTCTCCGGGTACAATGTGCGTCCTCGAGGCAAAGGGTGACTTTTGTAACGCTTCTTGCAGCGCTGGAGCAAGGAAGGCATAAGATATCGAACCCAGGTACGTGGGAACTGGGCAAGCAATTGTCGAGTAATTTGCACGGAGCTGCTGCACACGCCTGTTGTTCTGTTCGGTCCTGGACAGCCTCTCAGTCCTCTTTGATGGAGGCAGGGCTCCGTCGAAGAAGATGGCGACCCTGGCGAAGCGCAATCAGCGATGGAGGTCGTGGGTCAATCATTGGCATAAGTTCAGCATAAAAGATGTGGAGATCCGTTGCACCCGAGGGTACACCGCTGGCCTGGCGGACATTTGACAGTGCAAATGTTGGAATTCCGACCAAACCCCTGTGCGAAGAGCGGTGAATGAGGCGACATTTGTGCGCACCTTATTGGTTTTGCAGCGAAGTTCCGTGGGATGGAATGTCGATTTGGTGTGCACACCGGCAAGGCGACGAAAAGCAACGACGGTTCACTCACACCTTGATGTTGTTGGCTTCCAGAGCAGTTAACCAGCCAAGAGCCTGAGAGACGATGTCTGAATAAGAGGGCATTCGCGAGGCGCTAGCCGTAGTTGCAAGAGCCAGTTTGTGAGCATGATAGGCGAGTGCGGGCCCATCGACCACGGCCGAATAGCCGTCGAGCTGGTCGGAGGAAAAGCGAGTGGCGTATGGCTCCAGACGTCTAGCGAGTCCCTGGATGCCCATGTTGTCTGGGGCAACTGCACGGCTGTGCAGAACCCGGTTTCGACAGGGTGGAGTATCGGGTGATGCAGGTGTTGAGGGCTCTGCAATCAGGCCTTTTTTCTTTGGCCTCAGCCCGGGAGGCAAAAGAGTAAGAGCTTGTCGAGAGACACAACAGGCGCCTCGACCTTGAATGCAGCTCTAGCGCGTGCAGGCAGCGGCTGTTGGGAATGGACAAGAGAAAATCTGGTGAAGATAGTCGAGCGTGGCGTTGTCTTTCTCTAGGATGAGCTAGCTCCGGCGTCATCCCGCGAGGTGGGGGGAAGCAGGAGCTGCCCCTCTCCCCAGCCTAAAAGTTGCCCGCTGCTGCCACGCCCCAACACTCCTCTCAATTGCTTTGATCTTTCGTTGCATTGTTTCAAGCAAACACTCACACATCCATCATGAGCGTCCGAACTGTCGAATTGAAGCCTTTCCAGGACCAGAAGCCCGGAACGTAAGTTGCAACTCCAAGCTCGGCTCGTCCCATAGAGAGAGCTCCGTAGTGTAGTGCATGGCAAGCAGCTAACCACGACGCTATAGCTCTGGCCTCCGCAAGAAGGTCAAGGTCTTCCAGCAGGAGCACTACTCGGAGGCCTTCGTTACCAGTATCCTCCTGTCTATTCCCGAAGGCGTCGAGGGCTCGTTCCTTGTCGTTGGTGGTGATGGTCGTTACTGGAACCCTGAGGTCACTCAGGCCATTGCTAAGATTGGTGCTGCCTATGGCGTCAAGAAGCTCTTGATCGGTCAGAATGGCATCATGAGCACGCCTGCCGCCAGTCATCTCATCCGTATCCGCAAGGCGACGGGTGGTATCCTGCTGACTGCCAGCCACAACCCCGGTGGTAAGTGACTGCCCCTCTCGTCTCATGTAGTTCCGCTCCAGAATCTAACACCTCTCAGGCCCCGAGGAGGACTTTGGCATCAAGTACAACTTGGCCAACGGTGCCCCTGCTCCCGAGAGCGTCACCAACAAGATCTACGAAACCTCCAAGACGCTCACCTCATACAAGATCGCCGACATTCCTGATATCGACCTCAGTACCATTGGCACACAAAAGTATGGAGAGCTCGAAGTTGAGATTGTCCACTCCACTGAGGACTACCTCAAGATGCTCAAGGACATCTTCGACTTCGATCTCATCAAGTCTTTCCTCAAGGAGCACCCTGATTTCAAGGTTCTCTTTGACGGTCTGAGCGGCGTCACTGGCTCCTACGGAGTTGACATCTTCGAGAAGGAGCTCGGTATCCCCAACAGCACGCAGAACTGCGTCCCCAAGCCAGACTTTGGTGGTCACCACCCTGACCCTAACCTCGTGTACGCCAAGTCGCTGGTCGACGCCGTTGACAAGAACGGAATTCACTTTGGTGCTGCCAGTGATGGTGACGGTGACCGAAACATGATCTACGGCGCCAAGTCATTTGTTTCCCCCGGTGACAGTCTGGCTATCATTGCTCACCACGCAGAGCTCATTCCATACTTCAAGAAGCAGGGCATCTACGGTCTTGCCCGTAGTATGCCCACGTCTGGTGCGATTGATCTTGTCGCTAAGGCGAAGGGTGTTGAGTGCTACGAGGTGCCCACTGGCTGGAAGTTCTTCTGCGGTCTTTTTGATTCCAACAAGATGAACATTTGCGGCGAGGAGAGTTTCGGAACCGGTAGCAACCATATCCGTGAGAAGGACGGTCTGTGGGCTGTTGTCGCATGGCTGAACATCCTGGCTGGCGTCGGACAGAAGACTGGTACCACACCCAGCATTGCTTCAGTCCAGAAGGACTTCTGGAAGGCTTACGGACGTACCTTCTTCACCCGATACGACTACGAGGGCTGCGAGACCGAGGGTGCCAACAAGGTCACGAGCCACATGAAGGAGCTCATCACCACCAAGAAGGACGAGTTTGTTGGTTCAACCATCGCTGGTCGCAAGGTCACCGAGGCGGACGACTTCTCGTACACAGATCTCGACGGCAGCGTCAGCAAAAACCAGGGTATCTACGTCAAGTTCGATGACGGCAGTCGCATTGTCGTGCGTCTATCCGGTACAGGAAGCAGCGGTGCCACCATCCGTCTGTACATCGAGAAGCACACTAGCGACGAGTCTACATACGACTTGGATGCCCAAGACTTCCTCAAGGACAACGTCAAGCTTGCGACTGATCTCCTGAAGCTCCAGGAGTACATTGGCCGTACCGAGCCTGATGTCAAGACATAAGCGTGTTGCTGGAATGGATATGGGTGTAGAGTAATGAGCATGATGAGACGATTAGGCCACGATCGCACGACTTTAGCATGATAGTAAATTGTAAAAGTAACAACGTAGTGTTTGTGTTCTGCCAAGATTACTGTGATTGATGCTTGTTGGCAAGGGCGTCGAGGTGTGTTGTTTGAGCAGCTAAACTTGCATCGTTGATACTTCTGAGGAACGAATTCCCCAAAGGCCTGGTGGCGATACTCCTATCTGGGAGCGTGGCGGGTGAGATCATCATGGCGGACTTGATGTTGCGCGTCCCGCTAACTAGCCTGGAGACGTCATCCGAAACTAAACGCGCTGTCTCCATAACACAAGCACTCGGCCTTCCCACCCCTAACTTGTCGCATCCCCCGCTTTTCACGCATCTCTACCCACACGCGCTACCCCGTAAAAGGTTTCTGCACCTCCAGCATCCTACAAAGACACCAACACACGCCAAAACAACCACAAGTCGCAATCATGGCCGAGAAAGAAGGTGCCGCTGTGCCCCCTCAGGCAAAGAGCTCGTGGTCAAGCTTCCTCAAGGTACGGCACGAGACCATCGCGAACACTCTCTAGTGCTTGGATCGAGAAACCTCAGCAGTCTCTGGTGTGAGAAGAGCAGATGGAACTCCCAAAAAAACTCTTTTTTTTTGCCTCAGATCCGACTAGCTAACATTTAACCACAGTCCATCGCCTCCTTCAATGGCGATCTCTCGACTATGACCGCGCCCGCCTTTATCCTCTCCACAAAGTCCCTCACCGAGTTTTCGTCTTACTGGACCGAGCACCCGTCCTTGTTCGTCGCGCCTGCTGCCGAGCAAGACCCTGCTAAACGGGCCATGTTGGTGTTGAAGTGGTTCCTAAGCACATTGAAACAACAATATGCTAGCCGGTCTGAGAAGTTGGGTAGCGAGAAGAAGCCTCTCAACCCGTTCTTGGGAGAGCTATTCTTGGGTAAATGGGAAGATGAGGCTGGCACTACGCAGCTCGTGAGTGAGCAGGTCAGGTACGTAGGCATCTTTATTGGCTTGAGATTAGTGGGACGATACCATTGGGTAGGTTCAATGTCTGTCAGTAGGCTTACTAACGCAATGCGTCCAGCCATCACCCACCAGTTACTGCCTACGCCATCTGGAACGACAAACACGGGGTCCGGCTAGAGGGTTACAATGCCCAGAAGGCATCGTTCAAGACCACCATCAATGTCAAGGTGAGTCGGGTATATGTGTTCTTACATCATTCAATACTAATGGACAATAGCAAATTGGCCATGCGATGCTTCATCTGGACGGCTTCAACGAGAGCTATCTCATCACTCTCCCTCCCCTTCATATTGAAGGTCTTATTACCGGCTCACCATATGTGGAGTTGAACAGCAGCACCTACATCCAATCTTCAACCGGATACACCGCGCGCATCGATTACAGCGGAAAGGGCTGGGTATCAGGAAAGAAGAACACTTTCTCTGCAATTCTATACCCCGAGGGAAAGGAAAAGGATGTCATCTACAAGGCAGAGGGGCAGTGGAACGACACATTTCAGATTAAAGATGCAAAGACGAAAACTGTCGTTGACACATTTGACCACAAGACCACCAAGACGACACCTCTGACTGTCGCCGAGATTGAGGACCAGGATGATTTCGAGACCCGAAGGGCGTGGAAGAAGGTTTCAGATGCCATCAATTCGGGCAATATGGAATTGACTTCGGCCGAAAAGACCATTATCGAGACTCGCCAGCGAGAGATGAGACAGCAAGAGAAGGACGAAGGCCGCGAGTGGGAGCGAAAGTTCTTTACTCGTGCAACAGAATACCCACTGTTTGAGCAGCTGGCCAAGAAGATTGGCGAGAGTGTCAATGACAGCCAGACAAACGGCGTGTGGAGCTTTGACAAGCAGAAAGCAGACACGGCCAAGTCGCCCTACCACCCGACCGTTGTTCCTCCGATCTACGAGCGGAAGTGAAGCAATGTATTTTGACACTTTAATCAGCCTCAAACGGCTGCTGCTCCTTATGGATTATGAGAGTTGTAATGCTGGGAGAAGGATCAAGGCGAAGCGACAGGCCAATGGTGGTGAAGAAGGAAATTTCGGTGGGGTTTGTGCACAGTGAAAACCACGTACATGGGACAATGGGTAATACAGAGGCATATTAATGAAGGGTTATTGTCGACTAGATATCAAATACTTGAGATGTCCAACAAAGCTTTGGGGGTAGTCTCATCCAACGTTAGGCCAGCACAGTGATGATATAATTGCTTTTTTGATTTAATTTCTACATGTACTAGTACAGTGAGCTCGAGGCGCCAGGCTATTAAGCATCTTTGGTCTCAGTCCGCTTGTTATTCCCATGTCGCTGCCAACACTGTCGGAATATCTCCATCTAGACAGATTGTGTTAGCTACGTTCTAGTGTTGTGACTGTTCGGCTCCGTCTCGGCTTCCGGGCTAAGGGTAGCTCTTGACTTACCTCTTGTTTGCACCCTCGCCAGTCTTTCTTATCATAGTAACAGTCGGTCAGTTTTGCATTCTCGTCTACATTGAGGTCAATTGAGCTTTCTTTTTCATCCCACTCCGCTCAGCATACCTGCACAGCCTGTGCTGAAAATACGCTTGTCCCTGCCATTGTCATCAGCTTTGCTACTCGCAACACCGGAATCGCCACCCACCAGTCATCGGGTTCGTCATCAATCATCAACTGCGCTGCAGCGGCACGTGCCTTGTCATCGTTTGACATCTTGAAGAGCTGGGGATTCGGAATTGGTGGTGTTGTGGTCGAGTGACTCGCGCCGACGTACGTACCCTGAAGGCGCACGGACAAACTCGGTCCGCATTGGTGAACGTCACCATACTGTATCAAGCAACATGGCGTCCAAGAAGATGAATGTCCTGGTTTACTCGGGTATGTTGGCTTGGGTGAGATCGAAAATAAAAACTGATCCATCGTAGGCAATGGCAGTACAACCGAGTCTGTTCGTAATTGTATATACACTTTACGGCGATTACTGTCTCCTTCGTATGCCGTCATACCTGTCACGGGAGATGTGATAATCAAAGAGCCATGGTTCAGCACGTGCGCGCTCCTCGTGTTCCCAGGAGGTGCCGATATGGCATATTGTCGCACGCTCAACGGCGAGGGAAACCGCCGCATCAGTCGTTATGTGAACGCAGGTGGTTCCTACCTCGGCTTCTGCGCAGGCGGTTACTATGGCAGTGCGAAATGCGAATTTGAACTCGATGACCCCAACATGGCAGTAGAAGGCGACCGCGAACTCGCCTTTTTCCCAGGCATTTGTCGTGGACTGGCGTTTGCAGGATTCAAGTATGCTAGTGAGGCTGGTGCTAGGGCAGCGGATATCAAGATTCATAAGGAAGCCTTTGATAGAGGTACTGAAGGTGTTGCGAATACTTTCAAGAGCTACTATAATGGAGGAGGTGTGTTTGTCGATGCGAAAAAGCTGGAGAGCCGCGGTGTACAGATCCTTGCAAGCTATACTGAAGACTTGCATGTCGATGCTAGAGACAGCAAGGCTGCAGTGGTGTATCGAAAAGTTGGTGAAGGTCATGCTATTGTCACTGGTCCGCACCCTGAGTATGTCTACTGCTGTTCGTACATTATTCGTTGTCTAACCCTATATAGATTCGCACCGCAAAACCTCAGCATCGTACCAAGCTTGCCAAACTACAAAGAACTGATTGATGACATCGCTGCCACAGATGCCACCAGAGTAGATTTTATGCGTTTGGTCCTTGAGAAACTTGGCTTACGTGCTAATGAGAAGGAACAAGCGGTACCATCCCTCTCCCGCCTGCACCTCACTGCTCATAACCTAGCAGACGTCTCGGCACTCGTTGCCAGCTGGGCTGAAATCATCACTGTAGTTGATGGCGACGAATACATCAAGGGAGGCAATGATGTGTTCCGCGTAGAGAAAGAAGGGACTGCTTGGAGTGTGAGAGAATTGAAGAGAGCTGTGAGTGCAGTATCTGAGAAGTTGCCTATACTGTCTGCTGTGGCAGATGGCGGAAAGGAGCGTGGGGACAAGGACCATGTTGGGGAGGAAAGCAAAAAGGACAGACCCAAGACGGATGAGGAAGAGATTCAAGAGTGCATCGAATACACTGCAAGTACCGATCCGGATCAAATTGTGGAGTACGAGAAGGTTGTCAAGGTCGTGATTCCGCATGAGAAGGCGCTTCCATCAACCAAAGATACACCTTTCCATCACGAAGCCTATTATGCCAACTTACATCATTATCATAACAAGCTGCGTAACCCAGCTGCGTCGTTTGGAAAGCATCTCATCTACGGCGAGGTGGTCACCTCTACAAACACACTTCTGGAAAAGAATCCGTCGCTGCTCCGAAGTCTCCCCAACGGCTTCACCATGACTGCAACAACGCAGATCGCTGGGCGGGGTCGAGGAAGCAACGTATGGGTTGCACCCAGAGGAGCCCTCATGTTCTCCACCGTCCTACACCACTCCTTCTCGCTCAGCCAAAGTGCACCAGTCATCTTCATCCAGTACCTCGCCGCACTAGCCATTGTCCAAGGCATCAAGGGTTACGCACCCGGCTACGAAAAGATGCCCGTCAAGCTCAAATGGCCCAACGATATCTACGCCCAACTCCCCGGTTCGGCGAACAACCCCGTTGTCAAGATCGGCGGCATCCTAGTAAATAGCAGCTACTCGGGCTCCTCATACGACGTTGTAACAGGCATTGGACTGAATCTCTCCAACGCGCTCCCCACCACCTCCCTCAACATGCTCGCGTCGAGCCTCTCGCCGCCGCTGAAACCCCTGACGCACGAAAAGCTCCTTGCATCCATCCTTGCGCACTTTGAGACGCTGTACGCGTCCTTTTGCCACTCTGGGTTTAATCGTGAGATGGAAGGGAAGTACTATGATTGCTGGTTGCATACGAATCAGGTTGTTACGTTGGAGAGTGAGGGTGGGATTAAAGCGAGGATTAAGGGGATTACACGGGATTGGGGGTTGCTGCTTGCGGAGGAGCTGGGGTGGGAAGAGAGGCCCACGGGAAAGGTGGTTACGTTGCAGAGTGATAGTAATAGTTTTGATTTCTTTAAGGGTTTAGTTAGGCGGAAAGTGTAGGTAGGACTTGTTCTACTAGGTGTATAGGTGTTTGTGTAGAGAAAAGAGGGTACTCGGGATGTTTGTATGTTGGTTATGGATCAGAGGATACAAAAGTTTCTATTTTTTTGATATTTTTTATCAACCAATAACACAAAAGATGAAACGATAGCATGCGACCACTTGCTCAAAATCCAACCATGAACATAACACGATGTTGTACCACCACCATCGCGAGAGTCATAATCCCACTAGTCCCGCTTGGCAGACAAGGATGTTGCACCCCTGCCACTTTGAAAGTCGGGAATTTCCCCAACACCATGACGGCGCAACATCAACGCCTCTTCCAAAGGTCCAATTGCGGTCCCCCTCACCCCAACCACCACCCAAAATGAATCTCTCACTCTTCCGACCAGTCTTCCGATCCTCCGCCACAACATCGATACACCGACCAACTTGCAATTGGCAATCCCTCACACGCCCACACCTCGAACAAAAGAAACCAAGCACATGCTCCTCCCCATTCTCCTCTACATCCCGACTGCAAAAGCGTTCGAAAAAGGGCGGCGGTAGTGATCCGCGAATAAGTACGTCCTTTCCGCCTTCCCTCCCTCCCTCCTACCCTCGTCACGTCTCCCCATACATGCCCACAGGCTCGCAATAATATCAATTTACTAACGTAAATGCAAACAGCAAACATCCGCTACCACCTCTCGCACCCGCTGACCCCGCGCCCCCTCCACTTCTCGCGCAACCGCTCGCTCCGCCACTGGACCATCCACCGCGCCTGGCTGCTCTTCCTGCGCAAGCGACGGGCCGCCGAGGAACGCGAGTTGGAGCGGCAATACAACAGCATGCGGGCTGCGTGCGAGCATTTGCGCTTGCTCGACGATAAAGGAAACAGGGTGAGCGAGGAGGAGGCGGGGGGTCAGGGACCGGATGCGGGGAGGCTGGGGGTCAAGGGGAGGGAGGTGGGTAGGTTGTATCGCAGTGCGATGCTCAAGAGGGGGGTGTGGGGCAGTGTGCCCGTCGAGTATGCGAGGGTGCAGACGGATTTTCCGGCGAGGGAGGGGTGGAATCATGCGTGGACGAGGAATTGAAACTAGTGTGGAGGTCATGGATGGCATGTGTATTATATGCGGAGAGACTCACGATTTTCTCTGTTTGATAAACTAAAAACTAGCTGCTAGCTACTAGCTACTATCTTTCTTTCTTGATCCCAAACAGTTTTCTTCCCTTTCTCTTACTCTTGGCCCTCCATATCTAGCACGCTCTTTCATTAGAACCTCAAATTCAGAGGGAAGAGGGGAGAGGGGAGAGGGGAGAAGAGTTCTCTTTTTTTATCTTCTCTCTCTCTGTCTTCTTGAACAACGTACATACGTATATATATATATATATATATATAAATATAACTAAATGTATAATCGGGTAGCACACACGCACACACGTACACACATACGCACACACATGACTCTAAATACCTCTACCAAAAACACCAATCAACCTTGTCGTACATTAGAGGTAGAAGTAGTAACTTCATCCTTTCTCATATCCTCTCTCACATTCTCAGTCGCCATCTCTTTCCTTAACAAAATAAAGAGAGAAACAAGCAATACAAGCAGAAAACTCGCTCAGAACGGAAACATGGTACTAGAAAAAAAGGCGCCAGGCAAGAAACCAGCAGAAAAACGAAACGGGGGGGGAGATTTAAAAAAACGGGTGTCAAAAGGCCAAGAAATAGATAGTATAAGAAAAAGAGGAATTATGGTGATTAAATCACTCCATAAAAGGGGACATGTACTCCATGTAAAAGGTTTTTACTCCGCCCAATGCATTTTATGTCCAGTTGTGAGACAAAAGAAGAAGGAGAAGAAGAAGAGAAAAAATCTTGGTTAAACGTGGGTAATGAGCGAGATGACGCTCGACTGCCTTTTTTCCTTTCTTTTTTTCGATTATAAAACGACGCATCCGCATCCCGGGTTTTCCTTCTTGTCGACAGAAAGAAGAGCAGCGCGGGTAGCGGCTTCAAAGACGTCGTCGACACCGTCACCGGTTAGAGAGCTGCACTCGAGGTATTTGCGGGCGCCAATCATGTCCTTCATATCACTGCCCTGCTTGGTGGTTGTGAAACGTAGCGACTTTTTGCGCATTTCTTCCTGGGCCAAGGGGTCGTCGCGGAGATCCTTTTTCAGGCCGACAAGGATAATGGGGACGGTAGGGCAGCGTTCACGGGCCTCTTCGGCCCACTTGTGCTTGACATTGTCGAGGGAGTCGGGCGAGTCGACCGAGAAGCCAATAAGGATAACGTGTGCTTTGCTGTAGGCAAGAGGGCGCAGACGCTCGTAATCTTCTTGACCAGCCGTATCCCACAGGGCCAGCTGTACGGACTTGCCGTCTACTCTGCAGTCGGTGACGTAGTTTTCAAAAACTGTTGGGACATATCGCTACAAGGCGGTGTTAGCATGCCACGTTGAAGAGGAAGGTGTTGTTGCCGGTGGCAACAAGTACGAGGACATACGGTTGGAAAGTAACCCAAGGTGAAGACGCTCAGCAGACTGGTCTTGCCACAGGCACCATCGCCAATAATGACTAGCTTCCTAGAGGGAGAGGATCAGCAGGGTGCGCAGGAGGTGCATGGTTTGGATGCAGTGTCGGAGTGGTGCTAGGGTGCGTTGGTGATGCAGGAGGGCCGAAAGTAGCAAGAATTGAGCGCGAGTCGATAAAAAGTGGACATGGGGATGGAGTAGCATGGGCTATTTTTAGGTGGGCGAATGCTCGGACCGGGAGCGCCGTATGCAAGGTGTGACGCAAAAGCCGGGGTGCAACGGGCCAAGGTATCGACGCATGTCAAAGTTTGAGCAGCAGTCGGGCGGGCGGTGGCAGAAGTCGGTGTGGGTGAGATGGGGAAAGGAGGCGACGAAGAGGGGAGGTGCGATGAGGGCGAGAGATGGAAGCAAGACAGATGCGAGGATGGGGGAAGCTGAAAAATGGCAGGGGTGTGTAGAATGAGAGTAGGGAGAAAAAAAAGTTGGAATTGTACGCACCTGCGCATGACGGGCTCGCCGTTTTGCTGTTGTTGGGCCATGGCGGGTGTGGAGTGGAGGGGAGTGAGGCCGCGCGGAGGGTCGAGGGTGGAGGATGGAGGAGAGAAGACGGGTGAGCAGAGGGCTCGGATACAATTAAGTAGCCGTGATTGAGCGAGGGAGAAGCAGCGGCGGTGGATGCAGCGACGTGTGTATCGCTATCGCGCGTGTATCAACAAGCAGTGGCGCGGGCTGGGTGGACGAGTGTTGGCGTTGGGGGAGTGAGAGCGCGACGGGCAGCGAATGGACGGGCGGGCGGGCGTGGTGACGAGCCAATGAGCGGGGGGCGATGCAGCGCGAGAGAGAGGGAGAAGCGAGGGAGTGAGGATGGCGGGAGGTGTGGTCCTCGTCGTCGTGGGTGGTGGAGGTGGAGGAGGAGGTGGTGGAGGAGTGGTGGTGGTAATGGGGATGGCGGTGTTGATGTTGCTGGAGTTGGTGTTTGTGGTAGCGGGTAGTGTCAGTTTCGTGCGACAGCGACGGCGGCAGGGGAGCTAGCGACGGCCGGGCGAGGAATGGTTCCGTGGGCGGCGGATAAGGCACAGCACACAGCACACAGCACAGAAGAGACGGGCGGGACCCTTTAATAATGGGCGTTGACGATCACGGCGGAGGCACGCACGAGCGCGGGCTAGGTGAGGCGGCGGCGGGGCGTGTGTCGGTCGTATCTGTGTGTGTGCGTGGATGGGTATGGGTGGTGGTGAGAGTCGGTGTGGGTTCAGGTGTGCTGGAGACTCTCTCTGGTACCTATGCTAGCAGCGCTGAGCGAGCAGTGATACGGGGGGCGCTGAGGCGCAGTCGGCGCGGTTGGGTGCACAGCCGCCGCCTGCCTGCCTGCCTGCCTGCACCCGCCGGTCGCGCCTGCCCTCGCTCTCCTGGCCGTCCGCTGCCGTTAGACACGCACAGGCCCGACGGGCTCAAGGCAAGTGCAAGGCTGGCCCGCGCCAAGACATGGCACCTGCCGCCCGCGACACCAACAACTGACGCCCTGCCGCTCTCCGCAAACACCAGGCCCTGCTCACCACCCGACCACACGCACCGCGAGCCTCGCTCCCCCCGCCAGCAACCCCCCCGCTGTGCCTCTACACGCCGCCCATAGCAACCCCCCCTCTCAGCTCGCCGCCCGCCCCCGTCGAGAGCCCGGCCAACCCCTCCTCCCGCTGCTCCACTCCCACCACCACGAGAGCACTTTTGTACACGCCCACCGACCCATTCTCGCTTCACCACCCGTACCGCACTGCACCCCCACTTCCATCCGCCCCATTGCCCTGCGAGTCCATGGCACAGGGCACCAGAGGGCCGCCCACGGCTGCCATGCCGCCCAACGGCACTGCGACTGCGACTCACGATCCCGCCCCAACCCCCGTCAACCGCAAGAAGCAAAAGCGACGCGAGAAGGAGGCAGCCAAGAAGGCGGCCCAGGACCCTCACCCGCCTGCCTCTGCCCCTGCGCCTGCCCGGAATGGCCTGACCCCCGCCCAGCAGCAGCAGCAACCGCAACCGCAACCGCAGCAACTTCAACACCAGCAGCAACAGCAACAGCAACAGCAGCAGCAGCAGCAGCAACAGCAATATGCCCATCCCGAGCTCGATGAACCCCCGTACGAAGAGGGCGCCTACTACTCAGACGATGACTACGAACACACATACGGCGCCAACGGCGACTACCAGCAGCCATATGGCCATGCTCCTGTGCGCGGTAGTTCAGGCAAGAAGTCACGACGCAAGAAGAAGGCGCCCACTGCACCCCCGCCGCTGGCCTACTCGCAACACCTCCCCACGCGCCAGAGCCCCGCCCCAAATTCGCACTCCATGAACCGCTCCGCCTCCAAAAAAGACCGTATATGGAATACGTCCACGGCTGAGGAGCGAGAGCGCATACGCGACTTCTGGCTGTCCCTCGGCGAGGATGAGCGCAAGTCGCTCGTCAAGATTGAAAAAGAGGCCGTTCTGCGCAAGATGAAGGAGCAGCAGAAGCATTCATGTAGTTGCACCGTCTGCGGCCGCAAGCGCACCGCCATCGAGGAGGAGCTGGAAGTGTTATATGATGCATACTACGAGGAACTCGAGCAGTACGCGCACCACCAGCAAGACGTCGCTAGTTTCGTGCCCGAGGCTAATCATCGCTATGCGTCCAGTGCTCCTCATCCGCGCCCCATGCTCAATCCCCCGCAACCGCACGGCCCCTACGACGACGATGACGAGGAAGAGTACGACTCGGGCGAAGAAGACGACGAAGACTCCGAGTATGACAGCGAGATATCCTCCGAAGGCGATTACAGCTCCGGCGAACCCTCCCTGCCGCCCCCAGAACCCTCCGACTTTCTCCAGTTTGGCAGCAGTTTGCAGGTCAAAGGTATGCATACATAAACACCACCAACCACCCCACCCCCCTGTTGGGAGCATGCTGATTCATCCCTTTAGGTGGCATACTTACAGTCGCTGACGATTTGCTCAAGAACGATGGGAAAAAGTTCATTGAAATGATGGAGCAGTTGGCTGAGCGGAGAATGCAGCGTGAAGAAGAGGCACAATTCTCGGCCCATCCCAACATGCAGCACCGTTCCTACGCCGGCCACAGTCACAGTGCTCCCCCGCCAGAAGACGACGACTACGACGACGAGGGAGAAGACGATGAGGACTACGACGACGACGAGTACGACGAGGATGAGGACGATGAGGAAGTGCGTATCTTGTGCTGGAGTCTCACTACTTGCCACTAATCAACCCCAGGGGACCATGACGGAGGAGCAGCGCATGGAGGAGGGTCGACGAATGTTTCAGATATTTGCAGCCCGGATGTTTGAGCAGCGAGTACTCCAAGCGTATCGAGAAAAAGTGGCCGCAGAGCGCCAACAGCGGTTACTCGAAGAGTTAGCGGAAGAAGACATACGAAAGGACGCAAAAGAAGCAAAAAAGGCAAAAGAGGCCCAGAAGCGAAAGGAGAAGAAGGATAAGCAAAGACAACAAAAGGCGGAAGAAAAGGCTCGCAAAGAGGCGGAACAGGCGGCCAAGGAAGC